TTCCAGACAGCTTTGGCAGGGTCACCTGCCGACCCAGCACCAACCACGTACGTGTAACCTGGGAACAAAGGAACTTTAGGAAACGAGCTGCACAGAGAAGAGGCAATAACTCAAAATTATTATTAATATTCCCAGAGAGGCAAGACATGAAACGTATTTGGCCTCCATGAAATAAGAACAGGAAGGAGTCCATCGAAAAGAACTATCTGGAGAATACAGCACCTTAAAATAACAGAATCAAAGTCACTGAAATTTTTATTATAAAATCAATTCCAACTTATGTATTACCAATCCTATCATGTTCCTAAGAAAAAGACTCGAGGAGGCTTATAACACACGCACAGTGTAACCAGGATAAAAGTAATTAATGAGAAAATGAAGGAACCAGAAAATAAAGAAAAAGAAGATGAAGCCGGGCATCACATTCATATGCAAAATTCGATCCACGAGGTCCTTAGGAAGGGAATTAAGCTTGCAGTACCTCAACTTAAATTTTTTTTTTTTTCAACGTTTATTTATTTTTGAGACAGAGAGAGACAGAGCACGAACGGGGGAGGGGCAGAGAGAGAGGGAGACACAGAATCGGAAACAGGCTCCAGGCTCCGAGCCATCAGCCCAGAGCCCGACGCGGGGCTCGAACTCACGGACCGCAAGATCGAGACCTGGCTGAAGTCGGACGCTTAACCGACTGCGCCACCCAGGCGCCCCAGCAGTACCTCAACTTAAAGGCAACACTCATGACTTCCATTGTCTGTACCTTGGTTGCTTTCTGTTTGCGCTTGAGTAAATCCCGAGGACCACTCTGCCTGTGGAACGACCCACGTGCAGAAGACGGCCCCCTTCCTGCCCATCTGCACCTACCCTATGTGCCAATTTTATCTCCTGGGGAGGAAGAAACTGTCTTTTTTATTCTCCGTGACTGCTCACTGTCCCAAAGCAGTACCCTGCACCCAGGTACTTACGTAGCTTGTATTTCGTTCCCCGTTTCTTCCTGCCTTCTTAGAAAAGAAAGAAAAGGGGACACACCTCACTCGGGTATCTGAAGCCTCGTTAAAATATTATGCGAAGCTGGTCTAAGAATAAATCCCCTTAAAGAACCCGGGATGATGAGTCGGACTCTGCCAGCCAAAGCGGAGATAAAGAAAAATCATCTCATGAATCCTTTTGGGTTTGAGCCCATCATCTGTATTCAGTGACCCTAATGTTTCGCGTTCTAAGTTTTGAAATGAGAAAGGTGCATTCTAAACTTTTTAGAGAAGGAATTTAGTTCTGTGCAGTGCAAAGGCTGGGCAGAAGGGGGTAGATAATGAGGGAGCGTGGAGGACGAAAGGCCAGGAGAACCATTAAACAGAAAAAGCAGTTCTCCCTCACAGAAAAATTTTGATTTTGAAGTTTTACACTCCTATTTAACATTGAAATTGAAAGGTATTGCTCGCAACTCTACAGGGGAAACCAGGATATCTGCATTTAAATAAATACCACTTAGAGAAGGAAAACATATATGGGCTCTGCATCTCTATTTGCTCTTTAAAGACAGAAAAATGATGATGATTGTAATTTTTTTCCTCATTAAAAAAAAAAAGAAGGGGCGCCTGGGTGGCGCA